TCAGGGAAGTTTCATATCATGATGTGAGAACTGCCATAAATAAACTAAAAAACTCACGCGTGATTATTTGTGTTTGATATGAAAAAAACTAAGATTTCAATAGTTGGGCCAACTGAAGTGGGAAGGGGCTCGTATATGTTAGCCCCTGAGGCTTTAAACCTATTTCAATAGCTTCAATAGTAATTGCGTCTCGCATGGAAAGGAATATACAGAAATCTTTACTCTGTGATGGTTCACAAAATATATGGAGAGACACGTTACCTAAAAACAGGATTTACCTCAGGAGATAAATATATTTATTTATTATCATCTTTCCTTCAACATAATCGAATGAAGTGTCATCAGAAGTGCGTGAAAGCTTTTTTCCGCTGCAAAAGAAACGTACTTTATTCGGAAAAGCACGCGTCTGCTGCTTTAAAGCTCTTTAGGTGGCCAACAACGTTTTCCGCACTATACAGGGTGACTTCGAAGTTGAGTCATTTATTTTAACAGTGAGTAGATCTGATCAAAAGAAATGTTTTTTCCTTTACCATTTTTCTGGTAAAATTAAAGTAACAAACTTATAGCCCTTTGGAAGTTTGAGTACCGCCCTGTCTCAATAATAATATTATGTGCTCGTGTTTGGCAACAACGGATATAATCCGCCTCATCGGTTCATCGCATCGGAAACAAAAAAGCGAAAGAATTTGGAACGATGTTTTTACAATTATTTGATTCAGTTGTATACAGTCAGTGTCAGTCGGTAACGCGTGAGTGAATAGTGGTGTCTGTTGCGTATCTCAAACGAAATAAAAAAGGACACATGTTTATGCGGATCGGTTTCCCAATCGAGTGCAACCAACCCCTCGTGCCTTTGTTAATGTAGTACAACGGGCTCGTGAATCAGGTGACTTAAGACCTCACAGGGGACGGCATGCCGGTGCTCCAAGACCTCACGATCAAATACAGGTCCGCACTGAAATACTTGTCGGGAGGATACTTTATAAAACAAGGTAAATTTTTTTTTTATTTTTACACACATATTTTGGTTTATCTTCCTTCTACAATCATTATCTGAAAATTAATGACTCAACTTCAAAGTCACCCTGTATATTATAAAAAAAAGATACTTGTTGATAATAGTAGATTGTGTTTTACGCTACAAGCTAAAAGTATGAAACTATGTAAATTCCCACAGAAAAGCGCGAAAAAGGTGGTTGCTGGTTTGACAGTCCATGCAATATTGTTCAGAGACTATATTCCGATAACTATTTTTTACAGGTAAACACTTTATATTTAAGCTGGACAGCTCTACCTTGTCGGCCTTTTCTGCTCGAAGTGTGAGATTCTCCGAGTCCGGCTTCCTCAATAAACCCTCTCAATCGTTCCAATGCAATGCTTGCAGCATTTCGTCACGGTGGGTAGCTTGGATGTCTCTTCAAATTACTCACTTAATCGTCAATGCCGGTTAAGGTTAAAAATAGAAATGTGCTCTCCGTGAAACCTGGCTTTATTTTCCGGTTGATTTACTAAGCGCTGAGCGAACTGACATGCGAGACGCTGCTGAAATGATCGAGCATAGGAAGGAAACTGGGAAATGGTGCTGAATTTCAGAGAGACGAAAGTTGAGCTCCTAATGGACCTTATCGAAACGCAAATATTTAGAGGTCAACTATGCTTTATTGGAAGTAAACTTCAGAAGTCAGATGGATGTTTGATAACTTTCTTTGCTTATTAAATTTACATGTGGGATCTACTTTTGGTATTGAACAGCTCCTTAGGTCCAGGGCAATTAATTTAGTCTCAAGCTTTCTCCTGAGATCGAATGTGGATCGGTTAAAAATTAAATTCATATAAATCATCGGACATTGTTACTAAAGCCGAATAGTCATTTACTGTCTGTATTCAACAACATTCAGTCGAAGCTGAAGTCGAACGGTTAGTTAATGAAATACAGGGTGTCCGGAAAATAATAAGACTCATTTTTCTGTGTGAAACTCTGCAAATCTGCGACAGAGACATTTGATATGATCAATCAGGCTTACCCAGGTGTTGCTTTAGCAAGGAGTGGTGTGTTTCGGTGGCACGAGGCCTTTTTGGAGGACCGGGAAGAGGTCGCTGATGAAGACCTTTAACTTCGACAAACACCGATAATGTGACTCGTGTGTGCAAAGTTTTGAACTCAGATCATCGACTAAGTATTCGTTTAATTGCCCAGATGTTAAATTTACCAAAATCTGTGGTTTATGACATTGTGATACAGCATTTGAACATGCGCAAGGTGTGCGCGAAGATGGTCCCAAAAGTGCTCACTGACGACCAGAAATTGCGGCGAGTGGAAGTGTGCCAAGAAAATTTGAACATGTGTGAAAGTGACCCCCAATTTTTGAATAATGTAATCACAGGTGACGAGTGGTGGATCTTTGAGTATGATCCCAAGACAAAGAGGCAATCTTCCGAGTGGCACACGACGGCGTCTCCTCGCCCAAAAAAGGGAAGAATGAGCAAATCCAAAGTGAAAACAATGCTCATTGTCTTTTTTGACATCAAAGGCATCGTCCACCATGAATTTGTTCCTCCTGGACAAACCGTCAATGCCAAGTTTTACGTGGAAGTGCTCAGGAGACTCAAACGAAGGATCATTGGGTTCCGATAAGACATCGCAGCCCAGATGTGGCCCCCCGGACTTTTTTGTTTCCTCGCCTGAAAAGGTTGATAAAAAGCAAGCATTTTGAGACGACAGAGGGAATCCAAGCAGCATGCACCGCGGCTCTCAAGGCTATTCCGGAGAATGCCTTCCGTGGCGCCTTCAATGCTTGGAAATCGCGCTGGCAGCGCTGCATCGACGCAGAAGGAGCCTATTTTGAAAGTTTTTAAAGAATTGTAACGATTGGCTGGATAAATTTTTTTAAATCGACTCCGTACTATTAATTTCCGGAAAAACCCTGTATGTGGTCAAATAACGGCATTTTTTAAGTTTCATCCTTAGATTTAATGCGAAAACTGGACAAAATCTTATGACAATTTGAAGAGTAGAAGACGCATTGGCTAAAACTACCAATACCATACATCGTATCCTCGAAAATGGGAGGAGTTGCGACGTCACTCAATTAAATACGGCTTCACATCCACCATTTATCAGAAAACGGTATCTACATTTTTTTATAATAAATAGATAATCGGAAATAAGCCCATAATTTCTTATACTGTCATTTTTTTCTGACGCATGTATCGTTGTGGTAATAAAAGCAAGTTGACCCTAAACTGACTGTAGGCAAATTCTAAATTTTCCAAAAATGAAAGGAGATGCGACGTCATTCAATCAGAGAAGGCTTCACATCCATCATTTATCAAAAAACGGTATCTAAAATTCTTTATAATATACAGGGTGTCCGCAAAGTTGGGGTTGTCCTTTTCAGAAACAACTACCCTTGAAATAACAAAGGTAATGTGTAGTGAAACGAGGGCGACCAAGTAAAAAAAAATAAAGGAAAAAGTACTCACTCTCCAGTTGACGAGAAGGGCTAAGTACGTCTCTGTCCGAAATCATACCGCTCCAACAGAAAATGAAATCAGCTGATGCGCTACCGAGCAGACGCAGGCGGTGGTGCAGACCACGAACAGAGGTAACAAATATGCCGCGTTTTCAGTTTTTAGGTAAACGTACTTCATAGGTATTGTTCGAAGTTATTGCCGTTTGATTCAAAAACACAGGTGCGCGTCTAAAATGGGGCGGTGCACCATCGTGCAGAAACCACATTGATGGTCTTACACTTAATGGCACATCTTCTAACAAGGAAGGTAAAATGTTGCGTAAAAAGTCTAGGTATTGCATCCCGTCCAATCGATTTGGGGAGAATAAATGGTCCAATGAGCATACCGTTCACCATGCCAGCCCAAACATTCACCGAAAATGTTTGTTGAAAATGTGCCCGACGGACAGAGTGTGGATTTTCTACTGACCAAACATGAGTGTTGCGAAAGTTATTCACCCCATTACGCGTGAACGTAGATTCGTCTGTCACCAATATGCAGTTCAAAAAGTCCGGATTATTGTCATGTTGATGCAACAACCACTCACAAAACCGCACTCTTGCTGGAAAATCGTCAGGTGGAAGCGCTTGTACACGTTGGACGTGAAACGGATACAGCCCCTCTTCACGCAGCGTTTGCCACACTTTAGTTTTTGATACTTGCACTTCTCTAGCCACGTCTCTAGTGCTTGTTGAGGGATTCTCGTCTACGCGATTCAGTAGTTCTTCCTCAACTTGTACCATTCGCGGTTGTCTAGGCCTCCCACTGTGCCCGCCTCGAAATTCCTCCAAATGGCCCGTATCCCTGACTCTCTGGACCAGGTACACAAAATCTGCGGGGCCTTGGATGATGTCGTCTAGGGAAACGATCTGCATACACTCGCAAAGCCTCTGTAGCATTTTGAAGACATTCGCCATAAATTAACAACATATGAACGAGTTCATTATTGGTGTATGAGTGTGCCATTACTATTATTTTCTTTGAAACGCAATCGATTATACGGGTTCGTTTACCTCTACACGCGTGACCGTAACCGTCGGTTGAAGGTTGCATACTGACCTGACACACTGACCCCGGCCCAGTTCTGTCGTCGGGTTGAGCCAGTGACCTTGTACCACTCGGTGATGTCGCGGGTCGCGGCTACAGGACGGTATTCAGATATTTTTGATGTTGCAGAACCCTTTATCTCGGTTCCCTTAAGACATTGGTGTATATGGTACTAAGAAAAATTGCTTATGTTTTCAAGATCTACACGTCGTGTAAAGGAAAACCCCAACTTTGCGGACACCCTGTATAGGTTTTCCAAAATAAGCCGATTAACACCGTCATTTTTTTCTGATGCATGTGCCGTTGTGGTAATAAAATCAAGTTGACAATAAACTGACTGAAGGTGACATTCAAGGTTGTATCCAAAAAATATCTTATATAGAAAAATGCATATCTTAACTATTGCTGTAACCGTTGTGAATGATATCTTTTGATTACAGATGCATACCGTGTCCGCAAGACTGCCAGGACTGCGAACCGACAGGGATTTGCACCACAGAGAGGGGCGTTTACTTGAAGACTGTTATACTATGTATCCAACTAGCTTGTATGGTATCCACCGTTATACTGGCACTCATTGTTTTCAGACAGAGGAAAACAAAGGTTAGTTATTTAAGTTAAAATACATATGCTGTATTGGTGATGCATATACAAGGTGTTATTTAAGTACGTGGACAAGCTTCAGGAGGTGATTCTATGGTGATGAAAAGTTAATATCAGCCTATAGTGTATTTACACCCAAAATAGAATGGATGCGTGATTGCCAAAAGCAATGACGGCGTACAGGGCCGCATTCAGGGCTACCTCCGAATGATGGACTACCACCAACGTGTTGTAAAACAAAGATGAGAGTATTTAACGAAATTATCTAATATAGTGAAGTAGTTATAGTTAAGGGTGTCGCAAAATCAAATTTTTATTCTTGAAGGGGTGCTAAGTTTTTCTACAGATTTTTCAAACTAGACAACATGAAGAAATACATACCAGAGGTAACCAGCTGCTCACTATTCACAATGATTCCGTAGTCAACGAGGGGTAGAGATGACACTTTTGTACATGGAAAAATATAATATTTCACTATAACTAGGATTCCCATAATATGTATTCTGTGATAAAGCAAAAACGTGAAACTTACTCAGACTCACTTGAAGAGCTATCGTCATTAAAGTTTATGATGATGGATTCAAAATCTCTCTCAATTATGTTGTCCAGCTCCCACATTGCTACCTCCACTTTCTCCTGAAAATGCTGCACACATTTTTGCCATCTTTGTGACCCTCTGTGTAGCAGCAATTCTGAACAGCTCTTGCATGTCAGAAAATTGAAATGTTGTATTGTGTGCAGCAACAAAATTCTTAACATCTGCCCATATGAGCTCAATGGGGTTGAGGTCACAGTGGTAAGGCGGCAAACGGAGTACTGTTTTGAGGTGTGCTTTGGCCATTTCATCTATGACATATTTATCATGTATTGGTCTGTGTTGTTTCACAATATCTAATAGGTGTAATTTCAGTAAGGAAGAGTCGAAAGTTATATTTTTGGAACGGAGCCAGCTCTGAATGTCTGATTTCCTAGAAGCTGAAGTTGGGATTTTTTCCATTTTGCGAGAATGATAGGGAGCATTATCCAAAACAACCACAGAATTGTCTTCGAGACGTGGTAAAATGCCTGAAAACCACTTCTTGAATGCTTCCGCATTCCTCTCTTCATGGTAGTCAGTGGTTTTTTTGACTCAAAAGACCATAAGCCGTCATCCGTTAAGTACACATGCACGTCTTGTAGACACGAAGATAGAGAGATACTGTGCGCAAAAATTGATACCGCGAACTATTTCGATCTATTTTTCAGCTGGATTTTTCAATCCGGTTAACGGTCCATCTAGAAATGCCCTTCAGGGTGAAGTCACAGTTTTGTCAACCCATACCTTCGGAGTAGTGTGCCCAGCGTTAATCCAGGTTTCGTCCACGTAATAGATCTTCCTGTGCTGTTCCCTGAATGATTTAATTTTGGTCAGGTACTCTCTCCTCCACAGAACAATTTCTTCTCTATCCATAAGTAAGCTGTTACGACCTCGTTTCTTCCATTCGAAATTAAGATGCTTCAAAAGTTTATGAATAGTCCAACGTTTGAAATTTGGCAACATAGCATCCTCGTTAACCTCCCGTAGTACTTTATCAACTGTCGGTATTTCGTTTCTGAAGAAGAACTCGTACACTTTCCGCCGAATCGCATGCTTGTCAGCGTCATCCAACGATCTTATGATACTTTTGCGATTTTTACCCGTCATTGGCTTGGAAAAGGCATGCTTTTTCTTATGTTCGTTCAAAACATTGTACACTGTCGCTTGGCATACCCCAATTTTATCTGCCACTTTCAGAGCTATTTTCGGGTTAGTTGATGTTTCGTCTTCCTTCCGTTATATCTTGAATATATTCAATATGACGTCTTTCATGTCTACGCTAAGATGTCTTTTTTATCGCTTTATAGGAGGGCTGAGGAAGTAGCCTACAGCCTCGTCAGCAGTATCTGTACTGGACATGTTCAGGATTGATTCAAAACAAATAATAACGAGGAATAACAATAACAAACAGAAACTTAACAAATTACTCAAATACACTTAACAACAACAACAGCAACAACCAAGCAAGGTGAATATGAACACACGAGCACGCAGTGATACACGCGACGGTCGGTGGCCTGAATGCAACTCTGCCTGCCCTGCCCCTACCCCGCGCATTATTCCGTCAGGCGACCGCTTCAAATTTAATGGCGAATTGACCAATAAGAGGCGCTGTCCCCACCTGTTACCGAGAGATCACACGCTAACTGTTATTATTTACATCTCATCTTGAATTTGGATTCAGTTTAGGTCCAAAAATGCTTCATTTTCAACGTTTTTGCTAAATATCTTAATTAACCTTCAGTCGATTTTGTTGAAATTTAGCAGTGATATCAAGGGTAGTAAGGGGCTAACTCAGCTCCAATTAGATTGAAATTATTAAGTCCGGTGGGGCCTCTAACCAATATCTTTAAAAAATTTGTGCGCCACTACTTTTTTCAATTTTTCAATTTTGTTTTTTTAATAAAGTAGCTGAAAATACAACTTTTTAGTTGCTTGAGTCTCTTTCAGATCTCGCTTCGTTTGCGAGATAAAAAATAGAAAGCGCCTAAGTGTTACTTTCAAAACATTCTTGTTATAAATTATTACGTTGTGCGATTGTCTTATGTTATTTTGTTTTATTGAAATTAGTTTTAAATATGCGCGGACAAATTCAAGAGATGACTGTCGTCTAATGTTGATCGCTTAAATAGGTTTTTGGTTTTAATGTTTTATTATGTTGTTCCAGGACATGCGATAAAGTACTTTTTATTTTTCACATCGCAAGCGAGGCGAGATATGAAAGAAACTCACGAGGCAAAAAAGGTGTATTTTCTGCTGCTCAATTTGAAAAAAACTGAAAAATGGAAAACAGTCAGTGACGCACAATTTTTTTGTTAAAGAGATTAGAATGTTTTCTGAGGCGCCACTGGATTTAATAATTTCAATCTAATTGAGGCTGAATTACCGATTTTTAAAAAGAAGTATATATATGAAATTTTCATCTTAAAATTACTCAAAGAGTCACCTCCAAATTTGGCCACGTAGTTAAATAACACTCTGTCTGGCAAATTATATTTATTTACTAAACTTAAAGTATATTGAGCATTTTCAGGTGTATCTACAGTATATTCAGATAAGAGATAGACCGGACATAAACAAGACAACGTGATCATCGAACGCTGTAACATTCGGCAGGGACGTATTAAGAGTCACGCAGTACATATTTTAGATAGTAGATGCTGCTTTGCGTAACTTTGTAGTAAATTAGCACAATTCTATGTGTATACGATTGGTGATGGATATAGGATCATGTGGGGGTGGGGTAAGAAATATATAATGATGTAAATATACATAAGGGTTTCAAAATTTTCGCTTCGATTTCCAGCTTTGGATGCCGCCTGATGTTTGGTGAAATACAGTCGAATATAATCTCAAAATGGCGTTTAAATTAGCCTAAATTAAAAATAATCGTATATCTCTTGAAATTGCTTTTAGAATATTGATTAGTATATTTTTTGATTTCTAGGTAAATATGTTACCAAATTAAAACGTTCAAAACATAAAAAAATGTGCATGGTTGAACATTGTCAGAATAGGTTTTGCCAAAATGGGTTCAAAAATGTCAATAATTAATTAAAAAATACAGTAGCTTTATAATTACTTATAACTTACCGAATTTGATGAACGACATCTTTTATTGGAAAGATGAGCTTGATGAGCTTTCATCATCGCTACTGCCTGAAGCACCAACGTCAATAATGAATGGCTCGACTTGTTCCTCTAAAATATTGTCCAGTTCCCACATTCTCTTTTCAACTTTGTCTTTCACGTGTTTAATACAGTTTTCCCATGTTTGCGCTGTTATTAATTCTAGTGCTTCTTTGAAAAGTCCTTTGAGGTCACAAAATTTAAAAGTTGTATTGTGCTTAGCTATATAATTTTTAACCTCTGCCCATATGAGCTCAATGGGATTGAGCTCGCAATGGTATGGAGGTAAACGGAGCACAGTTTTATTTTGACTTGCTGCCATTTCATCAATGGCGTATTTTTGATATTCCGCCTTGTGATCCTTGACAATTCTTAATAATTGTACTTTCAGCATTGCTTCTTCAAAGTTAATATTTTTCGAGCGGAGCCAATTTTGAACAACAACTTTCCTTGAAGCCGTTGTTGGGACCTTTTCCATTCTTCGAGAATGATAAGGCGCATTATCCAACACAATTACTGCGTTTTCCTCTAAGTTCGGTAAAATTTTTGAAAACCACTGTTCAAACGATTCGCCATTCATTTCCTCGTGGTAATCTCCAGTTTTCTTAGACTCAAAGCACCACAGACCGTCAACAACAAATCCATCCTCACTGCCAATATGGCAGATAATGAGCCTTTTCCCTTTACCTGGAAATCGAAGTACTAACTGGTGAAGATTTATTTCAATAAGCGAACCTTTTTCAAATGTTTTCATCACATTCAGCGAAAAAACATTGAGACATGAGTATCAGATTGCTATAATTGGGATTATTTAGTCATATTGAAAGAAAGAATATTGAACGTCGTATGATTACTCAGCGCTTCACAATTTAATTTAAAGTTATAAACCTTTAAAAAATGAATGATCAGGAACCTGAAATACGCGCAAATATTAATATTAACAAATTATAACTTTATAAAGCTTAAAGTATGAATTAAAATGATTAGAAATATTAGGAACGGTACACAATATAAAACTTAGTAACTTTTTTAAGTTTATAATATTCGACATATTTTAAGATTATATTAAAAAATTATTGAAATATCGAAAACACATAAAAACATGGCTTAAAAAGTTCTAACAAATGAAAATGACAATAAAACATCCACGCATTTTATCGAAAGTTATAAAAGTTTTGTTACTTGTAATATGTTTTATCTGCCCCCTGGAATTAATGTTTAGAACCTTTTTCCCAAGGTTTGAAAAACATCCGATTGTTGTCTATTACTCGTATTTACGTGCTGGATTTTTTAATCCGGTGGACAGTCCATCTAGAAAGGCCCTCCTGGATGAAGTTACAGAATCATCAACCCATACTTTACTTGTAGTGTGTCCTGCGTTTACCCACGTTTCATCAAGGTAATAAATATTCCTGTTTTGATTTCTACATTTCCCAATTTTTGTTAAATAATCCCTCCTCCGTAGCACAATTTCTTCTCTATCCAGTAGTAAACTATTACGACCCCGTTTTTTCCATTTGAAATTTAAATGCTTCAGTAACGCATGGAAAGTTGATCGTTTGAAATTTGGCAACGTTGTATCTCCATTTACCTCCTGCAGTACTTTATCTATAGTAGGTATTTCATTCCTAAAGAAGAATTCATGCACTTTCCTCCTAATCGCATGCTTATGAGCTTCATCCAATGATTTAACAATACTTTTGCGATGTTTACTGCTCATTGGCTCAGAAAAGGTGTGATTTTTTTTGTTTTGTCTTAACACATTAAACACTGATGCGCGACACACCCCAACTTTGTGAGAAACCTTCACAACAATTTCTTTGATGGTTGATGCCTCGTTCTCCTCGCGCTCGATCTTATATATATTCAAAATGACCTCTTTCATTTCTGCACTCAGGTGTCTTTTTTTAGAGCGTTTCCTAGGTGGACTACAGGAGTTTACAACTTCATCGGCAGTATCTGTACTACTGGGCATTTTGCGCAAGCAGTTGATAACAATAACAATCAATAACAAGGTATAACAATAACAACGACAAACTCAACAACTTAATAAGATAACAAACGAAAATCAAATTGCAATGATGCACACGACATACGTAACACGTCTGAACCTGAATGTGACTCTGCCTTGATACGACTGCTCTGCCGCTCGGCATAGGCATTTAATTGCGAATTGACCAATGGGGGCTCCTGTTTTACGTCGAGACGGCGGCGTTAGTGTGAAAATCACCCGAACCTTTTTGTTTACATCCGGTCTATCTCTTATCTGAATATACTGTACTAAATTTTTATTTACAATCCACCATCATGTTGATTCTGTAGAAGAAGTTAATTCGGCGTAAAGAAAAAGGAAGTTCATCGCGATGTTTAGAAAATACAAAGGCTATATCACTGACTCTGGAGGTTTAAGGGAGAAGAAATCCAAAACGGATTATAAATAGGATTGTAGATGTACCTAAAGATATTCAATATACAGGGTGTTCCAAAAATAAACGGAGATACTTTAGAGGGAAGAATATGAAAAAAAGTCTATAAGCATGGGTCCGGAAATTTTACATTGTGATAAATTTAAATAAAAATATTCTGCGTACAGGCGCCTCGCTGCATAACAGTTACTATAATACGTACATACATTACATGCATGTCTGCCATTTCCTCAAAAGTGTAATTTTTTATCACAAAAACCGAGACAAAAACTTTTTAGAGAAATTTCGCAATGAAACTTACGTGAATATGTTTTTTCTGGCAGAACTGACGCGCAAATGTCAAACCTCGATGCAGAAATGATTTTTCGTTTTCCAAAGCATTTGTGATTTTTTTTAGTTAAAATCAAACCAATTCAGCCCAGTGACATGCAATAAAACGGTTTTTATTTTTTTCTCGAAAACGGAGTGAGAGACGAAAAAAAATACAAGTGGCATAGATGCTCAATCTGTTGAAGTTACAAAAAAGGCAGTGGTGTACATTTTTTTGCCAATAATAATGACAAAAATTAAGGTACATCATACATTGCAAATTATACCTAATTCTGATCATCGTAACAAGTTGTGTTCTCTATTTCAGGCTATCGCATCCGCCATGTGGACCATTTTAGAGACCATCCTCCTAGGTATTTTCATTCTTCATGCAACAGTAAGTACTTTTATCTATTTTACTTAATTCCGAGTATCATTGTATTAGTAACAAGGTAGAACGAAATCAGAAAACTGTCAGAACTGCCGCTAGCTTTTCATGTTCTTCTTCTAAGGACTTTGTGAATACCCGTAATAGCGTGAATTCGGTTTACCGGTTAGTAGATGGAAAAACAAATTAACATATATTTACTCAAGCAAACACTTTTGTTTTAACTAACAAATTCTGGGAAGTGATTGAATAACTCCATCTACGACTCCGTGAATGCGGCTGAAGTTCTGCATAAATTAAAACTGTTACTGTAGCCGTTACTTGTTTGCAGTACGAAAGTTTCAAATATTATAAAACTCAACCTCTCAACTAAATTTTCAGCATAAAAAAATGTTTGTCTTTCTAGAGTGACTTTGCTGCTTCAATATTGAAACTTGACCAACCATTAATTTTTACGCGCCTTTTTATCGACTAATACTGATGAAAATCGATTGATGACCTGTTGATAATCTTAACGTATAATTGGTCCTCGTCAATCGTCAGATTACATTGTGGTTATAGAGTAGCTAAAGAGCTTCTGCACCGGGATGTTCATGCAGTGTTTCTGCGTTCCAGAGCTCCTTTCCAGTAACCGAGATAGGTTGCTCAGAGTATCACGGAGTAACTCAGTAGTGCTCAGCACCAAAAGCGTTCCACTGCACGTTGCATTCCGACCCGTTGTTTCTAGAACATTTATGGACCCAAAGACCACGAGAAATCAGCCCCGCCCCTACTCTTGATCTTGTCATTAACAAAACGTATAAGGTACCTGTACCAAATAAGGCCATGCGTCGATTTTACAGACACTAGTTACATCTAGAATTAAAGATTTCTACAGTTCTATACATTCATTGAGATGAGTTAGCACCCATAAATGTAGCAGGTGTGGAGCGGCGCTAGACGGCGCACTTGGCCAGTGTCGATTTTCAACATGTGCCTTTAAATTTGTCTTCGATTTTTCATGTTGTCTGCTTCTTTTCGCGAAATCTGTTGTCAGTTCAATCAGGTAAGTCTATAGAACATATACAGCTAGTTATTTGTCGTCGCCAGGTTTTAAATATTTTGTATTTTATAAATTGTATGTTTTAAGGTTATATGTGCCTAATAAGGCCATGATAAAAGGGCGCTGTGGTCAACCGAAGCGCTTGTACAATCACTCTATAGTATAAACAGTGGAACGTCGGTAAATCGTGCATCCAAAGAATGTCAAATTCCACGAAGAGCACTTCGCAATCATGTTCGTACAGGTGTGCGAGAAAGAAAACTTGGTACTCGTACAATTTTGTCTAGAGAGCAGGAAGATGAACTGTGCTCAAGGATAATCTGATTATCGGATACAGGAATGCCCCTTACACCAAAGATTTTGCGAAAATCCGTCTTTTCCTATGTTAATGACAAAAAAATTCGTCACACATGCAATGAAAATAGTGAAATGGCAGGTAGAAAATGGTTGAAGTTGTTTTTGGACAGACATGAAAATATTCGCCAAAGGAAAGCACAGGTTTTAAATCCAGCTAGGGCACAGAAAGTAAATAAGTACATTGTGAATGACTACTTCAAAAAACTAGAAAGTTTGCTGATTAGACTAAACCTAATCAATCAGCCCCATCGTATCTACAATGTAGATGAGAAGGGGTGCAGACTCACCATCCACCGCCAACCAAATGTGTTGGCGAGGAAAGGTGAAAGACGTGTTCACTATGTAGATAATGAGCACGCAGAAAATTCCACAATAGTTGCATGTGGAAATGCTATTGGACAGGCAATACCACCAATGGTCCTGTTCAAGGGAAAACGTGAAAAGGATGAATGGGGTGACAATATGCCAACCAGAACAGTAATTGAAATGACCCAAAAAGGAAGTATGACGGCAGCAGTGTTTGTTAAATGGCTAGATCATCTAGCAAACTATAAGCCACCAGGAGATATTCTTCTCGTTTTTGATGGTGCCTCTTCTCATTTGGATGCAACTATTGTTGACGCCGCCGAAAAACATCACATCACTTTATTGTGTCTTCCGAGTAACACGACGCACGTGCTGCAACCGCTGGATAATGTGTTTTCCGCGGTTTCGAATATCATTGGGAAAATGAAATACTTAACCATTACAAGCGGTATCCTGCAGGAAGTTGAATCGTGCAAGATTTGGAGAAATTTTGAGGAAAGTGTATCCAGGGCCATCTTCAGTCAGGATTTCGCGCAACAGGAATATACCCACACGACCCAGCTGCGATCCGGAGACTGCATTTACACCTAGTTTGATGTCAGAGAGGCCCCGATTCAAATACGGCAGCTACAGATGTTCAGGAGGAGAATGACGAAAACCATGATGTCAGCTTACAGAATCTGATGACATACCCCTTGCACTACTGATGGCCAACGGAACTTCAATGTACAGATAACAGCTACTTCTAATGAAAAAGAAATAAACTCGACTCAACAGTTTGCAGTTCTTGAAACAACAAATCTTGTGACTGGTCAAACAGACAGTGATCAATTGGATCTAAGTTTCAGGGAAGTACTTCGCACACCCGAATGGAAGGCCAACGCCACGAAAAGACGAAAAGCCATCAATTCTGCTGCGCAAATCGTCGTAAGAGATTTGCTAAAGACCCAAATCCGGTCCATCCGGCTTAGATAAAACAATAAAAAAATCTAGTGAGCCTGGAACCATGAAAAGCAAAAGGTCCCGAAGAATAAAGACGAAACTGGTACTGTTTCATATGCGATAAGGATGAAGTACGTGACATGCGTCTGTGTGTAGTATGCTTAAGATATGTCCATGAGGAATGTGTACAGTATATTCAGATAAGAGATAGACCGGATGTAAACAAAAGTTCGGGTGATTTCACGCTAACGCCGCCGTCTCGACGTAAAACAGGAGCCCTCATGGTCAATTCGCAATTAAATGCCTATGCCGAGCGGCAGAGCAGTCGTATCAAGGCAGAGTCACATTCAGGTTCAGACGTGTTACGTATGTCGTGTGCATCATTGCAATTTGATATTTCTTTGGACGTTTTCGTTTGTTATCTTATTAAGTTGTTGTTGAGTTTGTCGTTCTTATTGTTATACCTTGTTATTGATTGTTATTGTTATCAACTGCTTGCGCAAAATGCCCAGTAGTACAGATACTGCCGATGAAGTTGTAAACTCCTGTAGTCCACCTAGGAAACGCTCTAAAAAAAGACACCTGAGTGCAGAAATGAAAGAGGTCATTTTGAATATATAAGATCGAGCGCGAGGAGGACGAGGCATCAACCATCAAAGAAATTGTTGTGAAGGTTTCTCACAAAGTTGGGGTGTGTCGCGCATCAGTGTTTAATGTGTTAAGACAATACAAAAAAAATCACACCTTTTCTGAGCCAATGACCAGTAAACATCGCAAAAGTATTGTTAAATCATTGGATGAAGCTGATAAGCATGCGATTAGGAGGAAAGTGCAGGAATTCTTCGGAGGAAGGTACCTACTATAGATAAAGTACTGCAGGAGGTAAATGGAGATACAACGTTGCCAAATTTCAAACGATCAACTTTCCATGCGTTACGAAGCATTTAAATTTCAAATGGAAAAAAACGGGGTCGTAATAGTTTACTACTGGATAGAGAAGAAATTGTGCTATGGAGGAGGGATTATTTAACAAAAATTGGGAAATATAGAAATCAAAACAGGAAGATTTATTACCCTTGATGATGAAACGTGGGTAAACGCAGGACACACTACAAGTAAAGTATGGGTTGATGATTCTGTAACTTCATCCAGGAGGGCCTTTCTAGATGGACTGTCCACCGGATTAAAAAATCCAGCAGGTAAATACGAGTAATAGACAACAATCGGATGTTTTTCAAACCTTGGAACAAAGGTTCTAAACATTAATTCCAGGGGGCAGATAAAACTATTACAAGTAACAAAACTTTTATAACTTTCGATAAAATGCGTGGATGTTTTTGTCATTTTCATTTGTTAGAACTTTTTTAAGCCATGTTTTTATGTGTTTCGATTATTCAATAATTTTTTATATAATCTTAAAATATGTCGAATATTATAAACTTAAAAAAAGTTACTAAGTTTTTATTGTGTACCGTTCCTAATATTTCTAATCATTTAATTCATATTTAAGCTTTATAAAGTTATAATTTGTTAATATTAATATTTGCGCGTATTTCAGGTTCCTGATCATTCATTTTTTAAAGGTTTATAACTTTAAATTAAATTGTGAAGCGCTGAGTAATCATACGACGTTCAATATTCTTTCTTTCAATATGGACTAAATGATCCCAATTATAGCAATCTGATACTCATGTCTCAATGTTTTTTCGCTGAATTGAATGTGATGAGACCGTTTGAAAAAGGTTCGCTTATTGAAAATCTACACCAGTTAGTACTTCGATTTCCAGGTAAAGGGAAAAGGCTCATTACCTGCCTTATTGGCAGTGAGGATGGATTGTTGTTGACGGTCTGTGGTGCTTTGAGTCTAAGAAAAACTGGAGATTACCACGAGGAAATGAATGGCGAATCGTTTGAACAGTGGTTTTCAAAAATTTTACCGAACTTCGAGAAAACGCAGTAATTGTGTTGGATAATGCGCCTTATCATTCTCGAAGAATGGAGAAGGTCCCAACAACGGCTTCACGGTAAGTTGATGTTCAAAATTGGCTCCGCTCGAAAAATATCAACTTTGAAGAAGCAATGCTGAAAGTACATTATTAAGAATTGTCAAGGAGCACAAGGCGGAATATCAAAAATACGCCATTGACGAAATGGCAGCAAGTCAAAATAAAACTGTGCTCCGTTTACCTCCATACCATTGCGAGCTTAATCCCATTGAGCTCATTTGGGCAGAGGTTAAAAATTATATAGCTAAGCACAATACACACTTTTAAATTTTGTGACCTCAAAGGACTTTTCAAAGAAGCACTAGAATTAATAACAGCGCAAAAATGGGAAAACTGTATTAAGCACGTGAAAGACAAAGTTGAAAAGAGAATGTGGGGGAACTGGACAATATTTTAGAGGAACAAGTCGAGCCATTCATTATTGACGTTGGTGCTTCAGGCAGTAGCGATGATGAAAGCTCATCAAGCTCATCTTTCCAATAAAAGATGTCGTTCATCAAATTCGGTAAGTTATAAGTTAATTATAAAGTTACTGTATTTTTTAATTAATTATTGACATTTTTGAACCCATTGGCAAAACCTATTCAAGAATCTACTTTCTGACAATGTTCAACCATGCACAAGTTTTGAACGTTTTAATTTGGTTACATATTTACCTAGAAATCAAAAAATATACTAATCAATATTCTAAAAGCAATTTTAAGAGATATACGATTATTTTTAATTTAGGCTAATTTAAACGCCACTTTTGAGATTATATTCGACTGTATTTCACCAAACTCAGGCGGCATCCGAAGCGGAAAATCGAAGCGAAAATTTTGAAACCTTCTGTATTTACATCATTATATATTTCTTACCCCAC